AGTCTGGTCTACACAGTGAGTTCCATGACAGAGCTACATAGTAAGACCCTGTCTTTAAAAAAGAAAGAAAGAAAGAAAAAAGAAAAAAAAGGGCTTTGCTGGCCTTTAAACGCCAGAAAATGTAGCCATGACAACTGGGGCTCTAGCCCTTTAGATGGAATGTCTTCTAGTTTCAGATATAAATATTGCCATTTATCATGGCATTGGAGTTACATAGTTTTGGGGGAGAACTGAATTCTGAGTTTTGCTTTATAAAAAACAAAAGGAGTTAGTAATGGGTAGAACGTCGGAAAGTGAGGGGGTGGGAGAGCATTCATGCAGTCCTTGGCCCATGTGTGGGTGTGGGTAGTGCTCTTCCTTGGTGTTCTCCTGTGTGCCGCCCTCCCGTGTGCCGTCCTCCCGTGTGCCGCCATCCAGTGCGCCGTCCTCCCGTGTGCCGTCCTCCCGTGCGCCGTCCTCCCGTGTGCCGCCATCCCGTGCGCCGTCCTCCCGTGTGCCGCCATCCCGTGTGCCGTCCTCCCGTGTGCCGCCATCCCGTGCGCCGTCCTCCCGTGCGCCGTCCTCCCGTGTGCCGCCATCCCGTGTGCCGCCCTCCCGTGTGCCGTCCTCCCGTGCGCCGTCCTCCCGTGCGCCGTCCTCCCGTGTTCCGTCCTCCCGTGCGCCGTCTCCCGTGTGCCGCCATCCCGTGTGCCGCCCTCCCGTGTGCCGTCCTCCCGTGTGCCGTCCTCCCGTGCGCCGTCCTCCCGTGTTCCGTCCTCCCGTGTGCCGTCCTCCCGTGCGCCGTCCTCCCGTGTGCCGCCATTCCGTGTGCCGTCCTCCTGTGTGCTGTTCTTCCTGGGGTAGTCCTCTTCCTGGGGTGGCCCTCTTCCTGGGGTTGTCCTCTTCCTGGGGTGGCCCTCTTCCTGGGGTTGTCCTCTTTCTGGGGTGGCCCTCTTCCTTGGAGGCTGCTCTACCCTCAGGCAGGAGCTCCAGACTTTGCAATGTCTCCTCTGTCTGTGGACACGTGAAGCTGGCGATGTCTGTGGGACAAGCTGGGGAGAGAGATCTTTAGGCAACAGGACACAGTCTAGACTAGAGCTTAGCTGGGTAGATTTGGGAGTCGATCATCTCTCAGAGGCCACTGAAGCCATGGGAGTGGGTTAGCTCATCCTGGGGGAATTACTGGAGGTGAAGAACCTTCGGGAGCCCCGTTGAAGGGGCCTGGAGAGGTGGCAGATTCCCTGCTGTGCTTCTGTGGAATGTGCCTTGAGACTCTGGAGGGCAAGCTGGAGAGAAGGGCGCGGGGAGGAGTGGGTCTGAGGAAAGCGAACTATTTGCCATGACAGCGAAACCTACAGAGGGCCTGGAGAGGGGTTGAGTGGGAAAGAGCATTGGCCGCTCTGCCGGAGAAATCTGGGCGCAGTTCCCAGCACCCAATGGAGGTTTACAGCTGTCTGTAACTGCAGTTCTAGGGGTTCCAGTGCTCTCCTCTGGTCTCCCAGGGTGGTATGTGGATATACATGCAGGTGAAATAGCCCTGTACACAAAATACAATAACAATATCATTGTAAAAGGCCTACGTGGAGGTCAGGGAAGACAAGACCTACAAATTCCTCTTTGGTGCAGCCGTGGTAATTTTTGGTGAGGTGTGGGTGGAGCAGAGAGTGAACTGGGAGCAATGGAGAAGAGAGGAAGCGACCCCTCCAGAGCAACTCCTTAAAGAAAGCAGGCTCTGGCGGGCAGAGGGTGGTCCCTCCAGGACAGTAGGAGTCAAGGGAGGGTTGTTTTTAGTATATTCTTTATTGACGTGCTAGAATTTGGCCATAGTCCAATGGTGGGAAGGAGCTAGTGTGTTGAGGGAGCTGTAGGTGTAAGCAGAGCTGGAGCGTGTCTTCCTGCAGGAGAACAGGGTTGCAGGACAGAGCCCTGGGGAGCTTTAGTAGAAAGAGAAGGAACTCGCAGTCATAAATGTGCAGGAAGCTTCATCATGGCACAGGTCAGTTCACACAGTCTGCTGCAGGAAGCAGATGGAGTTCTCACCTGATGGCTTTCTGCTGGGAGACACCAGCTTGGGAAGAGTGGGGTTTTAGATAGTGCCTTGAAGAGACAGATTAACTGTTAAAGATTTTTCCCCATTCTGCAGGCTGCAGCTTTGCTCGATGATAGTGTCTTTTTCTGTATAGAAACTTCATCTTCAGGAGGTCCCAATCTCAGTGCCTTTACTGTTGGCATCCTGTTCAGAAAGGTCTTTCTTGACTTCAAGCCTACTGCCCTATTCTGCCAGATTCGGGGTATCTGGTCTTATGGTGAGGTCTGCGATCCGTTTGTAACTGAGTTTTGTGCAAGGCGGTAGCTATGGGTTCATTTTCATTCTTCTACATGTGGTTATCCACACTGACCAGCACCATTTGTTGAAGATGCTTTCTTTACTCCAGTGTGTATTTTTTTGCTTATCAAAATTTAATTGTCAGCCAGTCACGGCGGCGGCAACATTCCTTTAGTCCCAGCACCCAGGAGGCAGAGGCCAGTGAATCTCTCTATAAATTCGAGGTCAGCTGGTGGATCTTTCTCTCTCAATTCAAGGCCAGCCTGATCTACACAGTGAGTTCCAGGACAATCAGGACTACACAGAGAAACCCCGTCACAAAAAACAAAGGGAAAACTAAACTGTCCAGGTCTTCAGTTTTATCCCATTGATCAGCACCTCTGTTTTCGTGCCGCCACCTGTGTGTTTTGTTACTGTCCCTTGTAATACAGCTTGAAATCTAGATGGAGGGAGGGAGAGAGCACAGGGCGGACACAGGATGAGGCCTGGAGAGCCCTGGCAGGCCTCAGGGGAATTCAGAGTGAGGCTGGGCTAATTTGTGATGTTATCGGCGTGGCTCAGGTGCGCACACACGGCTTAGCCTGGGGGATAGTAGATTTCACCTGGGACTTGAAATGTAGGCAGGCCAGGCTAGTCTCAAGCTTGCAGCGACACGCCTGTCCCAGTGCTGGGGTTAAAGGCGTGCGCTAGCAAGGCTGGCTTGTGTTCAGCTTTTTTTTTTTTTTTTTTTTTTTTTGTTGGTGAGATAGTTAGACTAGAAGACAAAGGAGTGAGGGTCGCTAAAGAGAGTGACCGAGATGAAGGCTGGGACTAAAGGCTGAAGCTCAGTGGAGCTGAGAGAGAGTGCTTAGCAGGGCCCAGACCCTGGAAAGTAGTTACTTCCATTCTCCCAGCACAGACAACAAAGAAAAACCACAAACTAAAGGACCACAGGGTCTGTGGAGGGAGTGAACAGGGAGTGAGCAGGGAGGGAAGTAAGAATCCTGGGCTGAGGTCTGAGAGCAGATGGTTTGGAGGAAGCTGAGCACCTGCCTGTGCACGTGACAGACTCGGGAGGAGCTGGGAAGGATCAGGTAGACAAACTGGAAAGGGGATCTCAGAGTCAAAGGACACTTGGGACAGATGTGCATGCTCTGGGATGTCATTAATGAGTGAAATTAATTTTTATATTTGGCACGTCATTCCCTCTAACACAACCTAAAATTATTAATAGGCTATTTTCTATTTTTTTCCTCTGTAGAAAGCCTTTTTTTTTTCTTTTGGTTTTTCAAGACAGGGTTTCTCTGTGTCACCATGGTTATCCTGGAACTGAGTAGTTCCTGTAGACCAGGTTGGCCTCGAACTGTCTGTCTCCCAAGGGCTGGGATTAAAGATGTGCACCACCCCGGCCCGGCCCGACTTTTAGACAGTCTTCTCTTATACCTAGGTGTGCTCTTTTTCCTGAACCTCTTTTTCTGAGAGGTTCCTGTTAATTTTACTTTTCGATCTTTGTGCTTCTGCCGTCATTTTGAACTTTGTACCAAGGCTGAAAGCCTGAACAAGCAAGCAGAAGAGAACAAAAGGTCTGCTCCGCATAAACATGAAAAGCAACAAACTGTCGCTAACTTGCTCAGAGAAAGGAAAGAGAACTCATAGAAAAGAACATGAGCGTCTCTCCGACAGCTGGGCATGGTGTGGTGGTGTGTGCCTGTGATCTCAGCTCTTGGGAGTTGGAGGCGTGAGAATATGGGGAGTTCAAGGTCATCCTAAGTGAGTTCAAGGCCAGCCTGGGTAGCAAAAATACCAAGCAAGCAAACAAGGGCCATTGCAAATTAGAAAAATAGGAAAACCCCTTCCCGTTGTATTCACATGGTAGGAAAGGAATTGGAAACTGATTGGAAGCTCTGGGGGTGGGGGGTGGGGCTGTCAATAGCGCCTGTGGTTGCAGTCAACAGGGCAGCTCTTCGAGGAGTGTTCCGAGTCTTCAGTCTTGGTCATTGGCTCCCACGCCACTGGCCAGAGACCCCAGAAAAGAATCTTCCAAACGGGGTCCTTTCTTGGTGTACCACACATCCTCGTGTGTGTCTTGACACTTGGACCTGTGGTCTTCTGCTGGTCATAGCGTGGCTTTCTCAGAAGGCTAGTGACTTAGCACTGGGCTTGTGGATGGCCGCATCTGCCCAGCTCACTCTCCTCCATGGCCTGGGGTCCTGGGCATCTTCTGCTTGTCTCTGCACCTTCTTCATCAGACCACAGACCTTCTGCACTCTGCTAACTCTGGCGAACAGAGTTAACCCTTGCCCTACAGAGCCTTCCATGAACCTGCTTCTCGAGTTCTCTACTGGCCTTCCTGTCTGAGTCTCGAAGCCCCTTCTGGAGGTTTCCTTGAAGCCGCAGTCCCCGGGGCTTTTAGAGAGTTAGGTAGTTTCCAGCTGTTGCTATTGCCCAGCTTAGAATTCCCCTCCCGCTCCAAACCCAGGTCATCTGTTCAACTTCCAGGACTTCTTGTCACCTGTACCTGTGTGGGCGTCTGCCCCAGACACCCAGAAATCCCCGTCGCTGCTGCTCTCATAGTTTGGGGAAGTAGCGAATATCACTCTGTCCTGTCTGCCTCTGTCACCTGGAAGGCCTGTTTCATTTCTGTCAAAAACTTCCCACGGGCACCCTCCTCTTAGCGCCCTCTAGCTGTGCCTCAGTTGCTCTGCTTTCTCCCTAGGACGCTCCTGGTTCTCTTTGTGGAGATTGACTACTGGGAGCGGCTGCTGTTTGAGACGCCCCACTATGTGATGAATGTGGCTGAACGCGCCGAGGACCTGCGGATTCTCCGGGAGAACCTGCTCCTCGTTGCTCGAGACTACAATAGGTGCGCTCTGTCCTCATCAGCCCGAGCATGTGGTGTGTTGCTCAGGGGTCCCATCATCATGTTTTTCCCATCTTACGGACCTGAATTCCTTCTCTTAACCAGTCCAGCCACTCAGAGCTGGTGACATTAGGGTTATGGCATGAAGTAGCACCAGAGTCACTGAAACAAAACCATCTTCCCTCATGTAGTCCCAGCCCCCAGCCTTTGACCTGCTGGGCCCGTCTCTAGGGTGACGTTTGTGCGCGGTTCGCTGTTCAGGCTTCAATACCAAGTATCACAGATTGGATGGCTTAGAAATAACCAAACTCCTGGCTCATAGTTCTGGAAGCTTGGGAGGTTCACAATTGAGGCAGGGGCAGATGCAGTGCCAGGTTCTCCACCTCCTGGTCTCTAAATGGCCGCCTTTGGTGTCTTCCATGGTACAATGAGACAGCAGCTATGTTAGGTCTCTTACTCAAGATGCCAGTCCTACGCATGACAGCTTCTCCCTTCCTGATCTAGCCAGCTCCAAGGCCTAGTAATACCACAGCAGAAGGGAAGGTTTCAACAGACAGATTTCAGGAAGGCACAATCTTACAGACCTTATCCAAGGGGATGAAACAAATACTTTTGTTTGAATTTCTAGAAAGGATACATTCAATGTGATAGCCTTTAGTTGCATGTAGCTATTTTTATTTGAATTACTTAAAAAGTTCCTCTTATCAGAGGCCACATTTCAAGCTACATATGACCAGTATTAGACAGCACATTTAACATTTTATTTATTTATTTATTTATTTATTTATTTATTTATTTATTTATTTATTTATTTATTTATTTATTGTGTATGGGTGTTTTCTCAGGCCTGGTACCTGAGGAGGCCAGAAGAAGATGTCAGATCCCCTGGGACTAGAGTTACAAATGGATACAAGACATCATGTAGGGGCTGGGAATTGAACCAGAGTCCTAAGCAAAAACAAGAGCTCTCAACTGCTGAGCCAGCTCCCCAGGTCTGGTGTGCATGGAGAGGTCAGAGGACAGCTGGTGGGAGTCAGTTCTCTCCTTCCACTCCGTGGGGCCCAGGAATTGAACTCAGATCCTCAGACTTAGTGGCAAGGGCCTCTAACCACTGATCCATCTCAGCAGCCCTTTGGCAGCACACTGTGTCTAACACTTGTATGACGAGAGTTTCTTTAGAGAACCTAGGCCAGAAGGCAAGTTTGAGAGACTGCCAAGCTTCCTGGCAGGAGGTGAGGCCTTCAGAGTCTTCTCTCCCACACAGGATTATAGCCATGCTGTCCCCAGATGAGCAGGCCCTGTTCAAAGAGCGGATCCGATTCCTGGATAAGAAGATCCACCCAGGCCTGAAGAAGCTGCATTGGGCCCTAAAGGGGGCCAGCGCCTTCTTCATCACGGAGTGCCGCATACACGCCAGCAAGGTGGGTCGCAGCTGCTGGACACTAAAGGTCTGTAAGGCTGATAGAAGGGCAGACACGTGGGTCACCAAAGCCTGAGCCTTTGGTGACGGGAGGCAATATAAAATCAGTTAATGTCCTCCTCTAAATTTGGTGCCAGAAATTGATCCCAAGGTCTTACGCATGCTTAGGCAAGAATTTCCCCACTGAAAGGAAAGGATTTTTTTTCTTTTAATGTCAGAAATTCTAGTAGGAGGCCAAGTGGGAGGATAGAATCAGGCCCAGAGAGCCTCAATCCAGTCTTCACGGGAAGGAATATACAAGGTGCCCGCGCAGTTAAAGGGAATAGATGCCACAGAAGGTGCCACTGTGAACCGTGCCTGGGCCTGACTCCAGGTGCAGATGATCGTGAATGACTTCAAGGCCTCCACTCTGACCATTGGCTGGAAGGCCCAGGAGATGTCAGAGATGCTCCTGGTGCGTATCACCGGCAAACGGGTGTACAGAGACCTGGAATTTGAGGAGGCCCAGAGGGAACATCGGATGGCCGTGCAGCAGAAACTGGTGAACCTGCACCAGGATGTGGTGAACATCATGACCAACTCCTATGAAGTGTTCAAGAACGATGGTCCTGAGGTAGACATCCCGTGCCCAGCCCTGAAGCAGGGACCCCACATACCCTCTGACCACGCTGCTTCTCTCCTGTATTTTACCAATGTGCGGATTTTAGATATCCACCCTGGGCCCAAAGGCAGTTCGCCTTCAGTTTCAAGTCTTCTCTGGCAGCATTCAGGATTTTGCCTCTGTTTCTTTAAAGATTTATTTTTATGTTTTTGGGTGTTTTTGCCTGTATGTATGCACACCACATGGGTACCTGCTGCACTCGGAGGCCAGAGAGGGTGTCAAGTTGTGAGCTGCTCTGTGGGTGTTGGGAGCGGAACCTAGGTTTTCTGCAAGGGCAGCCAGTGCTCTTAGCTGAGCTGTCTCCAGCCCCCATCCCTGCATTTCTGTCTTGCTTGTCACCCATCAGCTGGTGCCCATTTCCCAGGCCCTGAGCTGCTTTCTCCAGGACCTTTTCTTCTCCCCCTCCCGTCCCAGATACAGCAACAGTGGCTGCTCTACACGATACGGTTGGATCACATGATGGAGGATGCCCTGCGCATGAACGTGAAGTGGTCCCTGCTGGAACTCTCCAAGGCCATCAATGGGGACGGGAAGACCACTCCAAACCCACTTTTCCGAGTCCTTGTCATCTTACAGGATGACATACCAGGAGGTGTGGCACAGGTGAGGGCCACTGGGCCTCCAGCACCTCAAGATTACCATACCTTAGTCCTCGGTTTCCTCCAGGTTTCTTTTAAGTATTAAACTTTAAAAAATTAAAATATAATCACATCATTTCCCCACTTCTCTTCCCTCCCCCTAACACCTTCTGTGTCCCCTGACCTTGGTCCCTTTCATATTCATGACCTGCTGAGTCTGGCTAGTGTTGCTCATACGTATATGATTTCAGGGATGATCACTTGGTCTTGGACAATTTTCTTGGACTAATTTTCCTTTAGTTGCCTGCAGTTCCCACCTTAGCAGGTTTCTCTGTGTGCTCCTTGTTCAGATCTTCCTTAGGCAGCCATATTCCTGAGGAATCATGGGTGACGCTTCCCTGTCATTTCCAGGAGACATAGTCTCACAGTAGATGTCCCCGGAGGCCTTACAGTTTTCCCACCCCCTCTTCTGTGATGTTCCCTGACTCTGAGGTGCAGGAGTTGAGTGGCGGATGTACCCATGCAGGCTTGGCACTGCACAGTCAACTGTTACTTTCTCCCAATTCTGTTTTATATGCATGGGTGTTTTGCCTGCATGTATGTCTGTGTACCGCATGCACCTGATGTCTGCAGAGGCCAGAAGAGGGCAATGAATTACTTAGAATCGGAGTTACAGATCTTTGTGAGCCACTATGTGGGTATTAGGAATTGAACCCAGATCCTCTGGAAGAGCAGTCAGTGCTCTTAACCACTGAGCCATCTCTCTAGGCCCTCTTCTCTCTACTCTTTTTTTTTTAATATTTATTTATTTATTATGTATACAATATTCTGTCTGTGTGTATGTCTGCAGGCCAGAAGAGGGCACCAGACCTCATTACAGATGGTTGTGAGCCACCATGTGGTTGCTGGGATTTGAACTCAGGACCTTTGGAAGAGCAGGCAATGCTCTTAACCACTGAGCCATCTCTCCAGCCCCCTCTTCTCTCTACTCTTAGACTTCATCCCGGGCCTTGACTTTTTCCTGTGCCTCCAGGCCCAACTCAGCTGTTCAGCCTTAGAGGCTCTGAAGCCTGTGTCTCCCTATTAACACCCTAAGCTCCTCTGTGCTTCCCCACAGGTGGAATTCTCCCCCACGCTGCAGACTCTGGCGAGTGTGGTCAATGATATCGCCAGCCACCTATTCTCCACCATCTCCGTCTTCCGCCACCTCCCTGATATCCTCATCAAACGAAAGGTGACTCGGGAGCCCATCCATGTGATTGTAGGTGAGTGGGCCATGGGAGGGCATGCAGCCAGCACTTAGCCCAGGCAGAGCTAGGAGGAGTGATGAGGGCATCTCATTCACACCAGGCCAGCCATCTCTGTGGCTGGTGGGAAACCACACCAAGGAGCCAGACTGAGGAAGAAGCAAGGGGATTGCGATTAGGCGGCTGACCCCTGTGAGTTGTGAGAAGAGAGCATAGATAGGTTTGAGACGCGTGTTGGACTGGAAGAGGCCTTGATTCCCACAGAAGTGAGACGCGCAGGGTAGACTTGCACGGCTGCCCCCTCTGTTTTCTTTTCTTTTTGAAGATTTGTTATTCTTTTATGTGTATGGACCTTTTGCTTGAAAGTATGTCTGCCCACCAAGTCCAGAAAGAAGGCCTGTGGCTCCTGGGACTGAAGTTACAGACGGTTGTGACCTCCTACGTGGGTGCTGTAAACAGAAACTAGGTCCTCTCAACCACCGAGCCATTTCTAGCCCCCTTTTCCTTTTTAATTTTTTTTTGTTTTTCAAGCACCTCTCTGTTTTCATATATGTGTGTGTGTGTTATTGATTTTTATTGAGCTCTACATTTTTCTCTGCTCCCCTCCCTGCCTTTCCCCTCCACTTCAACCCTCTTCCAAGGTCCCCAGGCTCCCAATTTACTCAGGAGATCTTGTCTTTTTCTACTTTCCATGTAGTTTAGATCCATGTATGTCTCTCTTAGAGTCCTCATTGTTGTGTAGGTTCTCTGGGATTGTGATTTGTAGGCTGGTTTTCTTTGCTTTATGTTTTGAAAGTTTTGCTGGGTATAGAAGTCTGGGCTGGCATCCATAGTCTCTTAATGTCTGCATAATGCGTGACCACAACCTTCTGGCTTTCATTGTCTCCAGTGAGAAGTCAGGTGTAATTCTTATAGGTCTGCCTTTATGTGTTACTTGGCCTTTTTCCTTTGTAGCTCTTAATATTCTTTCTTTATTTCTGTATGTTTAGTGTTTTGATTATTATGTGGCAAGGGGACTTCTTTTTGATCCAGTCTATTTTGTGTTCTGTAAGCTTCTTGTATCTTCATTGGTATATCTTTATTTAGGTTGGGAAAGTTTCTTCTCTATGATTTTGTTAAATATATTTTCTGTGTTCTTGAATTGAACTTCTTCTCCTTCTTCTATACCTATTAGATTTGGTCTTTTCATAGTGTCCAATATTTCCTGGATATTTTGGGTTAAACTTTTGTTAGACTTAATGTTTTCTTTGACTGATGAGTCTATTTCCTCTATTGTATCTTCAGTGTTTGAGAGTCTCTCTTCCATCTCTTTTTTTTTTAAAGAAACCATGACTTTATTTTTTTTAAATGTTTTCTTTATTATTTATTGTGTGTACAGTGTTCTGCCTGTATGCATACCTGCAGGCCAGAAGAGGGCATCAGATCTCATTACAGATGGTTTGTGAGCCACCATGTGGTTTCTGGGAATTGAACTCAGGACCTTTGGAAGAACAGTCAGTGATCTTAACCTCTAAGCCATCTCTCCAGCCCCCTCTCTTCCATCTCTTGTAGTCTGCTGTTTATGTTTGCATTTGTGGTTCCTGATCGTTTTCTCATGCGTTCTGTTTCTGTAATTCCCTCAGGTTGCGTTTTCTTTATTGTCTCTATTTCAGTTTCCAAGTTTTGAATAGTTTCTTTCATATGTTTGATTGCTTTTGCTTGGTTTTCCTTAAGGGATTTGCTGATGTCTTCCAACTTTTTGTTTGTCTTTTCCTCCATTTCTTTGAGAAAATTTCTCATTTCCCCTTTAAGAGTCTCAAACATTCTCCTGAAGTTATTTTTAGGTTATTTTTTTCCTGCTTCATATATATTTGGTTGTTCAAGTCTTACTGTTGTAGATTTTACTGGTGTTGTGTTGCTTTTTGTGGTGTTGCGTGTATTCTTACCTTGTCTACTCATCTTTTCCTCTAATTGGTGTGGTTGGGGTTGTCTGTGACTCTAGTGATTAATCTTCTAGGTGCCAGTGAATCCAAGGCTCAGATGGTTGTTCTTCGTGGTACAGTCAGTGCCACGGTTCTAATTACCCCATTGGTCACTCCGTGTTCCTGGAGGTCTCAGTCCTGTTCTGGTCTACGTTGCTCAGACCTATTTCTCTAAATGTCTCTGGTCTAGATCTGCTTCTGAGGTGGTCCCTGGCTTGGGTCCCAGACCCTGGTGTGCTCGGACCCACAGAGGACCTGGCTTAGGACCTTACTCCCTCGGAGGTCCCAGACTGACACCTGTCCTGGCTCAGGCCTAGTTCCTCCGTGGTCCCAGATTCACACCTGGGCCTGCAGTAGTCTCTGGCTCTGGCCTATTCACTCAGCAGTTGCTCCCTTGTATCTGCTCCTATGGAGTTCGCAGTCTCAGGTCCGATCCCACCTAGGTCGCTGGCCCAGTCCTGCTTCCACAAATGTCCCTGGTCTGGTTCTGCTCCTCCTCCCGTGGAGTTCACCATCCCAGGCCCGCTCTGGCCCAGGTTGCTGGCTCAGTTCCCCTCTGTTTTCTAATGCTCATGTTTGAATACATTTTAGTGGGGAAACTGACAGAGTGGAAAGCAGTGGGCAGTGTTGGGGCCAGGCTGGAGCCTGGGGTGCGTGTCAGTGAGCAGCATCTCTCTCCACCCTTTGAAGAGCGCGATGAGGACATCAAGAAGATCCAGGCCCAGATCAGCAGTGGGATGACTAACAATGCAAGCTTGCTGCAGAATTACCTCAAGACCTGGGACATGTATCGGGAGATCTGGGAGATCAACAAGGACTCCTTCATCCGTCGCTACCAGCGTCTCAACCCCCCTGTCTCTTCCTTTGATGCTGACATTGCCCGGTGAGTGAAGAAAGGGAGGTGGGATTGTCTACAAGAAGAGCACTCGCTGGAGGAAGACTGGGGCTCGGCTGCGGCTGCGCTAGGTCTGGACGCTGCATGCCCTGGGCTGCAGGAGAAGAGCGCTGGACCTTGGTTTCTTGAGGGCAGACATCCAGAAAGAGGCTGGGCAAGGTTTAGGGAAAGCTGGCTGTTTGTTTAGAGGACTATTGCAGGGGTTGGTTGGGAAGTAAGAGATGCTAGAGATGGAAAAGGTAGAAGAGCTGGGTGTCATGGCGCATGTCTGTGATCCCAGCGCGCAGGAGCTGTGGTGGGGGCAGAGGGGTGTGGCCTGAGACATATAGCAAGACCACGCATTAAAAAAGGGAAATGGGGGGAGGAGTGGGGTGGAGGAAGAGAGGAGGAAGGGAGGGGCAGAGAGGGAAAGCCTTTGGCGCTGACAACTTGAAGGTGAGGGCTGGAGCTAAATGGAAGAAGATTCTTAAGTTCTGATGTCAAGTAACTGCCATCTTTTCATAGTCCCCTGACTGTGGCCATTCATTCACTCAGAGCAATTCTCCTATGAGCCTTGAAGAAGTTTTAAAAGAAAGAAAAGAACATTACAGGCCTTTCTACTCAGGGGCGGTAGCGCAGTGAGGAAGAGGAGTGCATGGCTGGGAGAGTGGGAGCCTGGCATGCTGGGAAGCTGGACTCCAGCACTGACTGGCTATGCAGTCCCGGCAGAATTTGATATGCCCAGGCCTCAGTTTCCTGTAAGATAGATATGATGTGACCCACAGTAGGGTGCTGCCAGACGATCCCATGTATATGAAGGTACTCTGTGAACTCTGCAAGCTTGTAAGGCACTTGCTGTGTCTCTACCGGCTCCATGCATTTGTACTAGGAGTATGTGTGCGAGCCACGGGGGCCAGCTCGCTAGGTCTGCCAGTTAATGTCTGTTCCTATAAAAAATACTTGAGGAAAATAAACCTATCCAGAAAGGTTTGTTTTGGTTCACAGTTGGGGGAAAGTTTAGCCCATGACCATGACGCCATTGCTTTGGGCTTGTCAATGTGCACTATAGTGGATGCAGAGCCATCAGTCTGTGCCTAAGATAAGGGCAGAGAGAGTGTTGGGGGAAGGGGCCCCTCCAAGGCATCACCAGTGATAGGAAGACTTTCTATTTGGTTCACCCCTTTCTACCATCTCCCAGTAGCGTCAAGCTGCAGACTGAGACTTAGCACACAGACCTGTGGGAAATTTTTAAATCCACAATAAAGCAGAAGGAAAGGATTTCCAGCCAGAGACAGCAGGAAAGGCCTCGTGAAGATGGCACCTGTAGGGGCTGTGCGTCCTAAGAGGGGTGGGGTTTCATCAGGCGGAGATGGTGGGGCCCAGGAGGAAACAGCGCAGACAGACTGGAACACAGACACAGAAGGAGGCAGACAAAGGGGCCACCATACCTCCCCTGAGGCTTCCTTTGCCATCTCTACCTATGCATGAGGACGTGAAGGCTCAGCATAGTCAGACAGTCCAAGGAGAAAAGCATACAAGGGTGGTCCATCGGTAGTTCCAGCCACAGGAAGCTGAGGCAGGAAGACCACTTGTGTTCAGGAGTTTGAGGCCAAGCCTGACAAAATGTAAAAAGCCTATCTCCTAAACCAACCATCTGCTTGAGGCAACCGAGCTAGAAGCGGTGCGGTGTGAGCCCAACTTGGACCTAGGGAACTTCAAGGCTGTGGGTCCCGGGGGAAAGTTGTGACTGCAGATTCACACTGTCCTGTACTTGCGAAGCTGGCATGGTCACAGCAGCCTGCCAGGAATGGGTTGGCCTGGGTGAGACCCGGCAATAGAACTGTCTAGAACTGCAGGTTTGGGTGAAAGGAAACAAGAGAGTGGAGTTTGGGTGGTGGTGTTGGGGGGTCACCTGTGAAGGGATAGAACCCTCTGAGCAGACCTGGGCTCTTGCAGCTACACAGAGGTGGCTAACAACGTCCAAAAGGAGGAGACGGTCCTCAACGTTCAGTTCGTTCTGCTGGACTGTTCACACCTCAAGTTCTCGTTGGTGCAGCACTGCAACGAGTGGCAGAATAAGTTCACCACCCTGCTCAAGGAGATGGCCGCCGGGCGCCTGATGGATCTGCACACCTATCTGAAAGACAACGCCGAGAAGTAAGGCTTGGCTTGGGCATGACTGTGGGTATGTGCGAGCGTGAGTATCCACACGCGTGCGTGTGCGTGCACGTGCTTTCCACCAACCACACTCTTTGCTGACTTTTAGAATCAGTCGCCCTCCCCAAACGCTGGAGGAACTAGGGGTCAGTATGCAGCTCATGGACACCCTGCAGCATGACTTACCCAGCCTGGAGACTCAGATCCCTCCCATCCACGAGCAGTTTACCATTCTAGAAAAGTACGAGGTGTCGGTTCCAGACAATGTAAGTTCCCGTTGTGTTTGGTCCACCCGAGTCAAGCATGTATCAGTGGCAACAGACTGTAGAGGAAGGACCTTGTGCCCTCAGGGGCCATGCCGAGAAGTGAGAGATTCAGAACTCCTGAGGACCACACTAACTGAAACGATGGTGCCTCTCAGTTTATATACTTCTGTTAGACCCAGCAACTTGAGATTGGTTCAGTCATGCATGGACTGTTTATGAACGCTGGTCTGGAGGGGCAGAAGATGCAGCTAACTGACAGAGAGCTGGGGGAGCGAGCGGCTCATTGGGAGAGTATCGCTGGCATATGTGACACCCTGGGTGCCCAGCCTCAGAGAGGATAGACCTCCTGCGTGTGGGTCATTCCGCCCTCTCTCTCTCCTAGGTCCTGGAGATGCTGGACAGTCTCAGTGGGGAGTGGATCACCTTCCAACAAATACTGCTGGACAGTGAGCAGATGCTGAAGAGACACAAGGAGAAGTTCAAGACAGGCCTTATTCACGCGGCTGACGACTTCAAGAAGAAGGCACACAACCTTCTAGAAGATTTTGAGGTCAAAGGTATTCCTTACTCCACCTCTCTCCCCTTCTTTAGTCTTGGTTTTATGACTCAGAATTCAAAATGTTATCCTGGAAAGGTGAAAACAGGTGGGGGGGGTGTGGCATGGGGAGGTTTGGAGCGGGGAGAAGGGAGTAGGCAGCTCGGGAAAGGGAAGGGGCGTCGAGGGGACAGAGGCTGAGCTTGCCTGGAGTCGCGGTATTCTGGTCGAAAGGCCTGGGCCAGCAACCTTTCCAGTGTCCTAACCCTGACTTCCTACTCCATTGTTCCCTCCATGCTCCCCCTTTTCTCCTCCCCTTTCTTCTCTCACGTGAGAGTAGCAGTGGGGTTTGTCCACTAAACTAGAGAGCCACAGACTGGCCTTTTCGAGAGGCTATGGACCCGAGTGGGATCTGAGCCACATGTTGACTTCCCACAGGGCCCTTTACCAGCAACGTGGGCTACACAGCTGCACTGGATCAGATCGCACAGGTGCGCGCCATGCTGATGGCCATGCGGGATGAGGAGAACAACCTCCGTTCCAACCTGGGCATCTTCAAGATTGAGCAGCCAATCTCCAAGGACCTCCAGAACCTGGAGAAGGTACTGTGCTGAGCTGGGTTCCATGGAGACCAGGGACAAGTGGCAGGGACAGAACAAGTTTCCGAGGACCTGGGAATGGTTCATTAACAGTTTTGTGAGTTTTTTGTTTTTTTTTTTTAAATCCAAATAGAGGTCCTCCTACTGCCTTTCCATGTTGGCAACATTACTTTCTTTTTCAAGATTTATTTATTGTGTATACAGGGTTCTTTCTCTTTGTATGCTTGCAGGACAGAAGAGGGCACCAGACCTTACTACAGATAGTTGTGAGACACCATGTGGGTGCTGGGAATTGAACTCAGGACCTCTTAACCTCTTAACTGCTGAGCCATCACTCCAGCCCATAATTAAATCACTGCTTGGCCTATTAGCTCTAACTTTTTGTTTTGTTTTGTTTTGTTTCTAGAGACAGGGTTTCTCTGTGGCTTTGGAACCTATCCTGGAACTAGCTCTTGTAGATCAAGCTGGCCTCAAACTCACAGAGATCTACCTGCCTCTGCCTCCTGAGTGCTGGGATTAAAGGTGTGCACCACCACTGCCCAGCCTCCCCCCAGGATTTTATTTAAAGCTGTTATCTCTTTGAGCACTGGACTTTGCTCATTTTACTTCTTGGTGCTCTTTTTCTCCTCAAACTGTACATTTTGTATTTTTCCTTGTTCAGTTTTCTCCTTTTCAGTATAGATCAGCATAAAGTTGCCACTAATAACCACACAACAGAGTCCATACTGGGCTGTCTTAAAATCTCCTCTGCCAACACCAATTTAATCCAGAACTCTTCAATCTAGCATTGGGCAGATTTTTTTGGATAAGGGAAGGAAGCAGACACACTCTTTGCCAAAATATCACCAGAACAGTCTCTAGGCCACCTTCTAATATTCTCTTCCTCTGAAACTTTTTCACTGCCCCACGTCCCATATCAGCTACAGTGCCTGCCTTCATGCTTCTGCTGGGATGGCACATTTAGCCCCATTGAAGCCTCCATCCAAAGTCTTCCAAATTCCTCCAAACAAAAACATGGTCAGACCTCTCACAGCGATGCCTCCCTCCGTCCCTGGTACCACCACAGCTGCTCTTCCAGAGGGCCTGGGTTTGATTCCCAGCACCCATATGGGAGCTTACATAGTCTGTAATTTCAGTTCCCAGGGATCCAATGTCCTCTTCTGGACCCTATGATACTACAGGCACATGGTGTGTAGACACACATGCAGGCAAGACAGCTATATTCATAACATAAAAAATAAATCCTTAGAAAAAAGATTCTAGGTGGCTGGAGAGATGGCTTAGAGGTTAAGAGCCACCTGCTGCTCTTCCAGATGTCCAGAGTTCACTTCCCAGCATTCACATGGTGACTCACAGCCATGCATAATGAGATCTGAAGCCCCCTTCTGGCATAGAGCACCATATACATAAAATAAATAAATCTTTAAAAATTTATTAAAAAATAGAAAAAAGATTTTCTAAAAACGATTTTAAAAACCCCAAACAAAACATTTTCATTGCCACAAGAGGAAGTCATGTTTCTATCAGCAGACACCTCTACCCCTTCTCCCCAGCCCTCACCTCCACCCCCTCCTCCACCCCCTCTCCCCAGCCCCCACCAACCTATCGTCCTCGTGTATAGATTTTTCCCATCCTGGGCATTTCCTACCAATGGAACAACGTGGCTTTCAGTCTCTGATCTCTTTCACTCTGCGGTGTTTTTACAGCTCGTGGATGCTATCGCGTGTATCGGTATTCCATTCCTTTTCATGGCTCGCTAATATTCCATTGTTTGTTCGTTCATTCACCTGGCGGGTGTTTGGGGTGGTTTCCACCCTTCCACTATAGTGATCAGGGCTCCTATGAGTGTGCGTGTACTTGTATTTGGACGCCTGTCCCTAATTGTTGTGGGTATAAGCCTAGCAATAAAATTGCCAGATCATATGGCTTCCCTCCACTTACGTTTCCGAGTCACAGCCAAGCAATCTTCCACAGCAGCCGTGCCATTTTACATCCCGCTAGCAAATGGATGAGAATTCCTGGGTTTTCTTGGTATCCTTGCCAACATGTATTTCCTTTACAGGTTTGTTGTTGTTGTTCTAGCCATAGTGGGTGTGAAGTGGTATCACATCGACGCTTTCGTTTTCATTTCCCTAAGACTCAGTGTTGAGGAGCTTCTCAAGTGCTTAGCATTTGATGAGCCCTTGAAGCCAGAGAGTAGAGGGCAAAGGTGAACTGGGAGGCAGCACCATCATCAGCTGGACAAGGGAAGGACCTGCGTGAGCTGTCGGGGAGGCGGGGGCCGGGGCGTCATGCCTAAGGCTGTCTGTCCATCCTCCTGCCCCCCGACAGGAGCTTGATGCCCTCCAGCAAGTGTGGGAGATCACTCGGGACTGGGAGGAGAGCTGGAACCAGTGGAAGACGGGCTGCTTCCTCACCCTGCAGACCGAGGCTATGGAGTCCACGGCCCATGGGCTGTTTCGCCGCCTCACAAGACTAGCCAAAGAGTATAAGGTACGTGGGGACAGACAAGATGGCCGTGTCCCAGCTGAGGAAGTGGGCAGGCTCCAGCGCCATGGGACTTCTGATGTCTTCCATCTTTTTTCAGGACCGAAACTGGGAAATTATCGAAACCACTCGCTCCAAAATAGAGCAGTTCAAGAGGACCATGCCCCTCATCTCAGACCTGCGGAACCCCGCCCTCAGAGAGAGGTGAGGCTGCCCTTGCCCAGCTCTGCCCGTTCTTGTCTGTACCCTCTCCTGGTACAAGTAATTCATTTCACTTCATGCTTTTTTTTCTTTTTCGCATGTGTATGTGCGTGTGTGGTGTATGTGTGTTTGCTTCCCTGGGTGTGCATATCCATGTGTTGAAGTTAACATTAGGTGTCCTTTTTGATCATTCCTCCCTTTATTTAATGAGGCAGAATCTGAACCCAGAGCTTCCCAATTCCTGCTAGTTAGCCAGCCTTCCCTAAGTATCCTCCGTCCCTGCGGCCTGAGGGCAACTGCCCTACCTGCCCAGCCAGTTCTTGAGTTCCGTGGGTTCGAACCCTGGTCCCTACTCTTGCCACATGAACCACTTTTATCCACTGTGCCATCTCCCTGGCCCCAGCGTATTTCACTTTTAGGGAGTGAACCCAAGTCTTGTGAATGTCGGCACTGTCCTGCTAAGCCATAGCACTAGTTCAAATTGACCTAAAACCTTTTGATTGCATTTATTTATTATTTAATGTGTGTGTGTGCGCGCGCGTGGCCACAGCTCCAGTGTGGAGTCATAGGACAACTTATGGGAGTTGGTTCTCTCTCCACCATATGAACCCTGGGGATCACACTCAGACTGTCAGACTTGGTAGCAAGTGTCCTTGCTTACTGACCCCAAGTTTGTGTTTAGTTGACCGAAAGGCATGTATTTATGATGGCCAGCATATGTCTTGCAGGGTGTGTGCGCTGTGGGAGAGCTACACTGAAGGGATTAGCATATGGAGCACCTCATGTACCTGTTTCTTTTACTTCTGTGGAGAGAATATTTGAGGTTTACTTTTGGGGTATGTGTTCATCTGTGTGTGTGGAGGGGTGCAGGTGTCTGTGTACATGTGACCACCCGCCAGGACTGGAGTTCCAGGCACACTGGTCATGGCTAGCCTTTTATAGGGGTGCTGGAATTTGAACTCAGGGCCTCATGCTTACACAGAACTACCTTTACCCAGGGAGCTTTCTTCCCAACCCTTAACATTTATTCTTAGGGTGGATGTGGAGGTACAGCCTAGCTCCAACATGTCCGGTTTTTGTTTAGGAATAGATACAGATGTCAGAACAGCACCTCTATGGCAGTTCAGAGGATCCAGTACCTTCTTCTGAACCCTCAGTCACCAAGCACAGGCAAAAAATTCACACATAAAATAAAATGAATAAATCTATTAAAAGAAAAAAGGACCAGGCAGTGGTGGCACATATCTTTAATCCCAGCACTCAGGAGGCAGAGGAAGGAAGATCACTGAGTTCAAGGCCAGCCTGGTCTACAGAGTGAGTTCCAGGACAGCCAGGGCTACACAGAGTAAACCCTGTCTTTAAACACCAAAACCCAAAACCAACCAACTAAACAAACAAACAAACAAAAAACAAAAACAAAAAAAGAAGAAGAAGAACAAAGGAGAAAGAAAGAAAGAATAGCAGGGAGCAGTGGTACGTGCCTTTTATCCCAGCTCTTTGGGAGGCAGAGACCAACCAGGGCTACTTAGTAGACCCTGTGTGAAAAAAATTCGAACTGGAGAGGTGTCCAGTGAGACACTGCTCATCCAGAGGCCCTGGGCTCCATTCCAGCATCCACACCAGGAGCTCACAACTGCCTGTAACTCCAGCTCCAGGGGACCCAACACCTGGGCTCTGCAGGCACCTGCACTCATGTGCACATGCCAGCCCCACCTCATTATTAAAATAAAGTTAAAGGTTTTACTTAGTTATTTACATACACATAATACATTGTTGCTAGCACTAGTAACTGTGCAGCTTAATCTCTTGAACTTGCTCCTTCTGTCTAGCTGAAACTCCATAGCCTTTGACCATCTCTCCCAACTCTGTCCCCCACACCCCTGGAGCTACCATTCTCTTCTCTGCCTGTGTGAATGTGACGATTTCAGACTGTATATCTAAATAAGGTCATTCACTTTCCTGTGCTGGCTTAGTTCACTTAACATAAAATCCTCCACATCCATCTAAACTGTTGAAAATTATAGGGATTTCCTCTTCTTCCCCTCCCCTCTTCCTCCCTCTTTTCCCTCCTCCCTCCTCCTCCTCCTCCTCTTCCTCTTCCTCTTCCTCTTCTTCTTCTTTCTTCTTCTTTTTGAGACAAGACCTAACTATGTAGCCCCGGCTGATCTAGAACTGGCTGTGTAGACTGTAGATAGCTTAGGCTGATGTTGACCTCACAGACGTCTGCCTGCCTCTGCTGGGATTAAAGACATGTGCCCCACATCCTATGTTTCTTCTTTTTGAAAAGCTGAATGGTTTTCCATCAGACGCAGATACCACATTTCTTTTCCATTCAGTAGTTGATGGACACTTAGGTTGACTCCGTCCACACCGGGGCTGTTGTGTATGTGCTACAGACAGCACGGGCTGCCGTGTCCAGTCTTCCATGTCTCCTGCTTCTTGTGCTGTCCCGGGCATTCAGATTCACTGAGTATATGTCCGCGGGCTCTTTCCTGGCATCTCTCTCCGCCTCCTCTGGCTTTATCTATTATAACTAAGACTTGGGTTTTTTTGTTTTTTTATTTTTTTTAAACAGCATTTTTAAGAATTATTTATTTATTATGTATACAGTGTTCTGTCTGCATGCATGCCTGAGGCCAGAAGAGGGCGCCAGATCTCATTACAGGTGGTGGTGAGTCACCATATGGTTGCTGGGAATTGAACTCAGGACCTCTGGAAGAGCAGTCAGCGCATTAACCGCTGAGCCATCTCTCCAGCCTTTTTTTTTTGTTTTTTGGGCTTTTTTGATCCAAAAAGTTTTATTTTATTGTAGCCACCATTTTTTCTTTTTCTTTTTTTTTTTTTTTTTTTTTTTTTTTTTTTTTTTTTTTTTTTTTTTTGCCTTTGAGCCTAGTTTAAGACAGCTTGGCCTGTTTTAAAGTCACAAGCACATTTGTTCATTGGTCTTCTGACACCAAGTTTTCCAAGTTTAATCCCTTTAGTGTACCAAGAATTTATTAGATGGTGAAGGAATTACAGTGGGGACAGAATACATTGTTTGGTAAGAGATTTTTAAATCAGTATGCATGTGAAGAAAACCTTTTGTTTTCGCATGCCTCCAGGGTAGTGTTTTTGGCAACATTTACCCCTAAGTGTTATGTGGGTGAGTCTAACTAATCTAACCCCCCAATTTATAAGTTATGTAGACTCCCTAACCTGCATTTCCTCATCTGTTAATGCAATAGTAGCACTTCCCAGTATGGAGCACTTGTGAGAAGCTGAGTAGCAGCGCGTGCAGCCCTTAGCCCAGCACGTGAGCCGTCGGAGACCTGCACTAATGGATTGCGTGTTCGTATGCACACCTGCCTTAACTCCTTCTCCAGAGGATTGACTCCTGGAGAGTGACAGATCAGTCTCTGTATTCCCCACGGTGTCTAAGATTGCACCTTGGAGCCTACTTAGCAAGACCCGTTGAATCAGGAATTAACAAATAACCAGAATTATAATGTTCCAAAGGGAGGAAACAAGAGAAGAGATTTTTTTTTTCTTTAAGCAGTGCTGGGTGTGGAATGCTGAGCCTCACACCTGCTAAGCAAGAGCTTGACTGAGTCACACTGACAGCCCCAGGGATTGATTGACACTTGCTAGTAGACCCTGGAGCTGGCCTCCAGGTCAGACTTCCTGTTCTGGGCTGCAGGCACTGGGACCAGGTCAAAGATGAAGTCCAGCGGGAGTTTGATCAGGAGTCGGAAAGCTTCACCTTGGAACAGATCGTGCAGCTCGGAATGGACCAGCACGTGGAGAAAATCGCAGAGATCTCTGCTTCGGCCACCAAAGAGCTGGCCATAGAAGTGGTAAGATTGTATCCTACTCCTCAGCCTCCTGTGTACAGACTTCCAGCCCTGCCCCATTTGAGGGCCCCTCCCAGGCTCCTCTCCCCTTTGTGGACTAGATACATGGTTTCTCTGTCCTCCAAATTCTCTTCACAGGGCTTACAAAACATTGCCAAAACCTGGGATGTGACGCAACTAGACATAGTACCCTACAAGGACAAGGGCCATCACCGGCTCAGGTAGAAAGGACTCCTGATGAGGTTGGCACATGTGGCCTGAACTGCAGAGTGAGGCTAAGGGACTGGCAGGTGGGTATGGACAATGACCTCCAGTCTTTGTACCCCAGGGGCACAGAAGAAGTGTTCCAGGCCCTGGAAGACAACCAGGTGGCTCTGTCGACCATGAAGGCCTCTCGATTCGTGAAGGCCTTTGAGAAGGATGTGGACCACTGGGAGCGCTGCCTCTCCCTCATTCTGGAAGTTATTGAGATGGTGCTCACGGTGCAGAGACAGTGGATGTACCTGGAGGTCAGCATCCATACTGCCTGGGCTGTCCCTACCCCTGCTTCAGCTCTTCTCTCTGCCTGGAGCCTGGGAATAGGCCTGCTGTCGGTGTCCTTTCCCGCCTCCTGAGACCCCGCCTTCTGACTCTGTCTCTTACATTCCCACCCAGGCAAGCCTGTGTTCTTCCAGATTTACATTTTCCTCTTGGGCTCTGTCCTGAATTCCAAATTCCAGTTTGGCTTCTTGCCATGGTTTCTAATGGTCTGACTCTTCTACTCGGTTGTCATCTGTGGTCTGGGAGCAGAGTGTACAGGGCATGTGCGAAACGGCCTTTCCTCCCGGCTCTCTGCCCCCCAGAATATCTTCCTTGGAGAGGACATCCGAAAGCAGCTGCCCAATGAGTCAGCCCTGTTTGACCAGGTCAACAACAACTGGAAAGCCATCATGGACCGGATGAACAAAGACAATAACGCTCTCCGGAGCACCCACTACCCAGGTGAGGGCTCCCCAGGCAATTATCCCGACAGCCCTCACTGCTCCTATGCATTTGTGAGGTCGTGGCCACATGCTTCGTCACTAAAATGATTCGATCATCACTATCATCAGTAGCTGTGTTTAATCCCATTGTGGCTGTGAGCAGTGACACCACCACCACTTAGTAACATTTGCTAGTGTTGATCACATGCTATTGCTCATTGTTCTTATTTGTAAGTGGATCAAGTTAAACTTATACTAAGTGGAATATCATCCAGTGCTTTAGAGCACGGGCTACCGAGTCAGGCCTTGCTGGTCCTGTGCACCTGGCAGCTTGCTCCCTGCACACTGCAGTTCCCTCCTGTCGCTGGAGCTTTTGGAAGGACTGCAACAGAGCAGTGACTCTCACAGTACAGTAGAGGGCGCTGGCTCAACAGCGCTGGTCTCAGCAGGGATGAGTCCCAGCGACTGCCGCCCTGAAGTGATCTGAGTAAAAGGACTGACTCACAAAGCCACAAAACAGTGATCCTGTTGTTGAACATACGCAACAAACATCTGGTCCACGTTTCTGAGTCTTTCTGTGACCTCCAGAGGTCACTTGAGGTCACCCAAAGACTCCAGTAGCCTGCAGTCACTACACATGCTGGAAGGCATGGTTTCACACTCTTAGTCAGGACAGAGCCTGGAAGAACCTGGGGAAAGTCCCAAAGGCTGAGAATGCAGACCAGAAGCTAAGACTTCTGGGAACCTATAACTGTGAACACATCTTTAAACTCTCAGATTGGCTTTTGTGGTAGACCTCTTTCTTTTCTTTTTTTCTTTTCTTTTTAAGATAATCAAAGTGGTGTGTTTACTTCAAGACCACAATCTTGAGTTTGGGCTCTGCATGTTCTTTGACTGTATGGGTGTGTGGGTTTGTTGTAGCACTGTGTGTTTTGTGTACACATATGGGTGTGTGTGTGTGCGCGCGCTCGCGCCAGAGGGTGGGAAGTCCAGCAGTTGACTTTGGATGCCTTCCTCTATCACTTTACTGTATTTCTTTATTTTATCTTTTTATTCTTGATATTGAAATTTAATTAGAACTTTTCCCCCTCTAAGCCCCCTTACCTACCCTTCCTGTTCTCCCTCAAATTCATGGCTTCTTTTCTCACTAATGGTTATAGCATGTGTGTGTTTATATATATGTTCCTAATTATAACCTGTTCCATCCATGTAATGTTGTCAGGGCTGACATTTGGCTCTGGACAGCCAATTGCTGTGCTCGATCCTGGGGAGGGGCCGCCTCTCCTGCTCCCGCCTCTCCCGCTCCCAGCTCTCCCGCCCCCAGCTCTCCCGCCCCCAGCTCTCCCGCTCCCAGCTCTCCCGCTCCCACCTCTCCTCGTGTAGGGCTGAAGCCTCAAGAGCTTTTCCCCATCTAATTTTTGTATGTTTATCGGTGTCAATCTTTTTTTTCAGATCACATTTGGGCAGCCATTGTTGTTGGCTTTTCTTTTACTCTAGTCCCACATTGGAATGCTAAAATGTTGTTTGTTTTTTACTCTTTTGGCTCTTTGAGGGGCCTGCCACTCAGCTCCCAAATAAATCACAAGGATGCTTATTCTTCCTTATGAATGCCCAGTCTTAGCTTGGCTTGTTTCCAAACAGCTTTTCTTACCTTAAATCATCCCATCTACCTTGTGCCTCCGGGCTTTTCTTACTTCTGTGTGTCTGACTTTCACTCTTGCTCTGATGGCTGGGTGTCTGGGTGACTGGCCCTGACATCCTCCTCTTCTTGTTCTCTCTTGCTCCTCCTCCCTTCTTCCAGATTTCTCTATTTGCACTCTCTGTCTGCCAGCCCCGCCTGTCCTTTCTCCTGCCATTCAGTTCTTTATTAGACCATCAGGTGTTTCAGACAGGCAAAGAATCACAGCTTCACAGAGTTAAATAAATGTAACATAAAAGAATGCAATACATCTTTACATCATTAAACAAATGTTCCGGAGCAAAAATAAATGTAACACACCTTAAAATAATGTTCTACAGGTCATGTTGGTGAGACTTTCTGAATGTAGCATCTGATGTTACTGGAGACAGAGTCTCACAGCAAACTCCCTGGTCCTCTGGCTCTTACAGCCTTCCCACCCCCTCTTCTGCAGTGCTCCCCGAGTCTGAGGTGGAGAGTGTTGTGGAGGTGTCCACTGGGACTGGGCTCCACGACTCTGCATTCTGACAGCTTGTGTTTCCCATAGTGGTCTCCATCTGTTACCAAGGGAAGTTTCCTTGATGCGGGGTGAGAGCCTATGGACAAATGTTTATAGATTGTTGTTAGGGATTGTGGTGGTTTAGTAAATTAGTGGTTGTGGATTCTTCTCCAGTAACCACAGCTTCATTGGTAGTGAGTAGTAGTTAGCTAAGCCATACTGCCAGCCTTGGTTGTCCTTTGGTTGAGTGGTCTTAAGTCTAATTAGAGAGCTGTTGGTTACCGCCAAGGTGTGCATGCCACTACCGCACCCTTAGGGTTATCATGCCAGGCTAGTCATTGATGTGTTCCATAGACATCATAGCTGGAGAGAACTGTTGTCTACCCCCTCCTTTGGAAGCTTGCACGATGCCCTTGGGTACCATGAAAGCTAGTCCTCAGAGGTTTTTCAGGTCAGCACCAGCTCAGGGGTCTCTGTGCTCTGTCTCTGAAGTACATGGTGTTTTCAGCAACTTACTGTCCACCTCTGGGGGTAACCAAGGGTGACAGCAGTGGCCTTTGGCCTCCTCATGGCGTGCCTCCTCGTGTTGTGTCGTGGTTGCTGCCTTCCTGTGTCTGTGGTGTCTTTAGCGACTCGGCTTGCTGGATTGAGTAAAGGGCAGGATCGTTTTTAATTTCCAGAAACTCTTGAGTTGAGCGGTGGCACTCCAAGCTCTTAGGTATAATAGGACTGTTATGCTAAAGACTGGTGAGAAATGGGGCTAACTTCTATGATGCCCCATGAACACTGTACAAGCTTTCCAGGTGTAGACATGTCTTATGAATACATGAGAGAGCGGGATAATAGACACGGGGATTGGAGTGATTTCTGTTTCCGAAGCCCTACGGCAGTCTGTACCGCAAACTCAAGGGCTGTAAGCAGAGCTGGGGACTGATGTCTACGCCACATGTCGTCCGTTCCCCTTCTCCCCAGACCTCTTGGAGACACTGATAGGAATGAACACAATCCTGGAGGACATCCAGAAGTCTCTGGACATGTACTTAGAGACCAAGCGACATATGTTCCCTCGCTTCTACTTCCTGTCCAACGATGACCTGCTGGAGATTCTGGGCCAGTCCCGTAACCCGGAGGCTGTGCAGCCGCACCTCAAAAAATGCTTCGACAACATCAAACTGCTGAGAATCCAAAAGGTCAACAGAGGTGGCCATGATGGGATGAGGGCCGGGAAGGAGTGGTGACATCACAGTATTGGAGGCTTTGGACAGGACCACACTCTCCTCGCAGGAGAGGGGCATTACGTAATGATTTTAGATCCTCACGGAGAACTTTCCAGAACTGGCGATGGTGAGAGGAGGGAAGAGAAGAAATTGCCTTTAAAGGGCACAGATGCTTCTAAAACTGTGGTCTTGACCCCTTTGGGAGTTGACTATCAGATTTTTACGTTCATAATAGTAGCAAAATATGATTCATAACACTGGCAAAATTACAGTTATGAAGTAGCAACAGAAGTAAGTTTATGGTTGGTTCACCACAACATGAAGAAGTGTATTAAAGGACTGCAGCATTAGGAAGGCTGAGGACCGCTGCTCTAGGCCAGAATGAGGCCAGGGCTTGGATGACTTGTCTCTTCCACAGGTCGGGAGCTCCAGCAGCAAATGGGAAGCAGTGGGAATGTTCTCAGGTGATGGCGAATACATCGATTTCCTCCACCCAGTACTTCTAGAAGGCCCTGTGGAGGTGCGTGCTGGTGAAGGTCTTAGGAGCAAACTGTCTTCCTTTCCTTTCCTTTTCCCTTTCCTTTCCTTTCCTTTCCTTTCCTTTCCTTTCCTTTCCTTTCCTTTCCTTTCCTTTCCTTTTCTTTTTTCAAGACAGGGTTTCTAGGTGTATCTTTAATTATCCTGGAATTGTCTTTCTACTAGAAAGTTTGCTTGGCACGCCTTTAATCCCAGCACTCGGGAGGCAGAGGCAGGTGGGTCTCTGAGTTTGAGGCCAGCCTGGTCTACAGAGCTGTTCCAGGACAGCCAGGGCTACGTAGAGGTCACTGTCTTGAAAAATCAAAGAAAGAAAGTTTGCTTGAGTCCACGAGGAGAGACCATTTCCATGAAGGGAGATGAGCTTGCTTTGTAGCGGTCATTTCCTCACACATGCGTGTTCTTGTTATTTCCTCACACATATGTGTTCTTGACATTTTCTCATACATGCGTGTTCTTGTCATTTCCTCACACATGCGTGTTCTTG